GGACCCCACCTTGATGTTTCAGGACCCCACTTTGGGTCCCGACCCCAACTTTGGGAACCACTGGTATAGAGGACTGAAATAAATATAATAATAATAAATACGAAATAATAAAATTTACCAAATTTCCCTCTGGGATCAATAAAGTTTTTTTTTGAAACAGACAAATTTAAAAAGCAGAAATGTATGAACATTAACAAGTTAAAGGGGGGAAAAAGGAAATTTAAAAAGGGAAAAACAAAAATATGTACTAAAATAGAATTTGTTGGAACTAAGTTGGAAAAATAAATATGAAGGTCAATTAAATTARAAAATATGAGGTAAAGCTCTAAAGTTTTCGTTATTAATTGGTGCATTTTAAGTGTATTTATTTGTTGGGCCATTTATTTATTTTTGCTTTTGTTTTTAATTAAATCAGTTTCAGTCCTCCACAGCCTTGTCCCCTCAACACAAGCCCACCAATGTTCAGATCACTTTTATGTCCTAAATGATTTTTGTTTTTTACAAAACTTTCACAGTTTTCATTCTTCTTCCTTGCAAAACAGTATWTGACACATTGCGTTTCTGTCATATTATTTTGGTTATATTGATATTCAAATTAAATGGAAAACACACTTCTTTTTCAGCTATTTCAGGCTCACTCCCCTCTGTCCAGATTGCCTGCAGTGACTTTTTACGTCCAGCAGATGTCGCCAAAACGCATTAAAAACAATGTCCCACAGGATTTATCCACTATCACAACTAATTATTTTAAATGTTTACTCTAAGCGCTAACTAGTAACTTTTACTGATGATTTGGTCCAGATATTTGAACTATATATTCACATCTTCAGCATTATTATGTAAGATCAAAATGTGAGTTGTGCTGTCATCCAGTGGACAAGAAGCAGAATAAAATATCTTCAAACTGTTGGGTCATCGTGACTAATAAACAAAGACAGTAGGGTCAGAGACTTACATGCTGTTATGTTAGCAGCACTAAATGAAACACTTGATACATAGATTTTGTTGTGAAATATTTTTGTAGCCATAACGTTCATACTGTTCATCTTTTATTCAGTGACAAAAGGATGAGTTAACCCGAAGGTAACACAGTAGTCAATAATACTTTTAGGTAGTTACTGTAATGTAACTTACAGCTTATGAAGGTTTTGGAAAACATGCCAAGAACGACGTCTCCGATTCAGAGGTTAGCATCTAAAGCTATCGTCGTATTTGTGTACAAGCTTACATTTTTTGTGTATATATAGTGCAGTTACAACAACCAAATAAACAATGAAAGAGTGCTGAGCTTGGTTGTAATATTTAAAGGCATTTATACAAATATATAGCTACATTTTCGACGTGTTTAATAAATTGTATGAGTTTCTTACCTTTAAAATCTGCTGATTTGGAAAGCGAAGCCGGTTTCCAGAAACTAAATGTTGACACTAAATGTCCACTAAATGTTTTCCGTGTATTAATTATAGCATCAAATCTACAGTGAAATCAATGTTTCAGGACAGCAGTAAAACACGTGTTGACGGACCGAATCTTCATACCTTTCTGAGCCCAGCTGAGCGACAATCTTTTAAATTTTGAACAATGCTCTGCTCAGCTGAGCTAAACGCTGATTGGCTAGAACACATACCTTCCTGTTATCTGATTGGTTGATTTGGTCAGAGCATGTGTGCTCTATAAATATAGCCTACCTGAACAAAGACGGCTTTCAAGAGTTCCCYCCCCGAGGTTTATAGCGTTATCTTTGGAACTTTTAATTTGTTTTGTTACATTCAAAGCATAAATATNTTAGATGAAATTGAATACAAATAAAGACAATAGGTAATGTCAGAGGAATGTAAAAAAGAAACAGCTCAGTGCSTCCTAAGAGTCACATTTTGTTTCTCTGCAGCAGATTCATTCCTATTTTTATAGGTTTTCATACAAAAAACACTGATTCAACTAAAAGAAAAAACTTCTAGTTGGTACCATTACAAKCTGTGAATTTAAAATGATTACTTATTTTATTTATACTGATATATTTAGACTTAGAGAATAAAAAATGAAACACGGTAAAAGTGATTTGAGTACAAGAAGTACCAGATATAAACTGATTAAACATCTGCACTAATAAAAATATGTAATGCACAATAAAAAAGTACATTTAGAATAAAAGTTGCATGTTTATTTGAGTAACAGATTTTACAAATAAGTCTGTTTTATAAGTAAATATGTTTCCCCTTTTTGCATCATCATAACAGATTGTTGTCCTAGATTTTATTAGTTGTGTGGTAACTAATAATTAACAACTCTGTTTTCATTACTGTTTCTCCTCCTGTTTAACCATATTTTAGATTATTTTGATTATATTAAAAAAATGACAGTGTACTGCATATTATTTCAGCGATAAGAGCTGACGCTCACAAAGCTCGGAGTCTGGCCAGAAGAGTCTCCACATCAGATTCTACYTTGGCGTCGCAGCTGCTGAGGGCAGGACCAGAGGAGGAGGACAGGACGGCTGGAACCTCGGCTTCAAGCCCCGCCTCTTTTTCAGTCCCTCTGACCGTCTCTGGTTCCAGCAGCGGCCTCTCTCTGTCCGACCCACAGCTGTGACCTGGAGTGTTCCTGGACCTGCTGCCTGACTGCGAGCAGCCAAATGCCTTGGCCCTGGCTGCAGATGGATGGCCCTCAGACTCATTACGTGCCTCCTTGGCAGGGGGAGCCTTTGTCGCCACCAAGCTCGCATTTACATTCTGCCGAGAGCGAGACCTTTGTAAAGGTGCCTTGTTGTTTTCTGTGTGTGGGGTAAAAACACAAGTGAAGCAGTGAGTACAACAGTACAGAGTGAGGAGGAGGGAGTGCGTGACTGACTCGTTAAAAGAAAGGCAGGGGGGGTTAATCAGATTACAGATTAAATTACAAGGAGATAAAGCAAGCGAGTGACTAGAAAGTGCAGTCAGTTTAAAATCCAACAAACAAAAAGTATTAGAAAGTAATCGGCACTTGTGCAAGCATACACACTAAACATAAACATACATATACAGTGGCTACACACTGATGAGGATGGATTTTCTGCAGGAGGCCGAGCGTGCAGCCAGCACACAATGATGAAATGGATATGATTGATCAACTCCACCAGAAACTCAATATTATTGTACGTTGCCTTTTCCAGTCTCTTTGCACACGGGTCCTCAGAAAGCGGACTGGATCTAAAACCAAATAAAATCTTATCTGGGCACAAAAAGTTGTTAGATTACAGTAGCAAAGCATAAATATATATATATATATTTTTTTTTACTTTTTTTAACTTCTTCTTAACTTTTATTTCTTTACTTTAAAATGAAAACAAGTTACAAATTTAAATATGACAAGAATTCATCATGAAAGGAATGATTTATGCACTCTGAAAAATGTTGCATTTAATTAACCAAGTTATTTCAACTGTACAAACCGAGCTGAGTAAATGTGAAACAATTTACACGTTTTCTTTTTCTTTTTTTAAGTGTAAACTGCTCAGTTTACTCAGCTGAGATTTGTACCTGTTAAATCCAACACTTCATTTCTTAGAGTGTGTAAAAGTAGCTTACTTTTACTTTTAATTTTACTTTCCTAATTATTGTAATAAGCAGATTTAATAATTTTATCAAAGTACTTTTGTTTTCAGTGAAATCAATTTTTACCTCTAAGGTATTTTTTTTTTTTTTTTTTTTTTTACAATTTTAAGCACTTATACCTCTGATTCTCAGATATTATTTTTAAGATATTTATAAGACTTTTTAATTTGTATTATTTCCCCCAAGGAATGACTTACAGATTGTGTTTTGGCTTTTAGACATTTCTAGCTAAATTCAACTGCAGTAAAGAATGATATATTTCAGAGATGGCTACTGTATGTTTAACTACCTAAAGCCATTTTGTATCTCTCAAACACTGAGCTGGGACACAGAGGTGAGTCATCATGTTGTAAAAGTGAAATAGTTTTTAGTGGAGACATCTGCTCAGCAACAGACTGGTCCATCAGAGTGTAAGTGTTGTTTGGAGAACATGAGAGTACAGTCCATTAATTGCTTATAGGTTATATTATTATTATGCAGTCACAATGAAACTACTAATGAAGAGAAGGCCATCAAAATGTATGTTTTATACTATAAGTTCCGATGTTTTAACTTTTATAATATCAGAAATAGGCTACTGTGGGATATTTACCTTCTCCTGTACCTTACCCCGTAAAACTTGTTAAAATAGTAAATCGCACTGACAGTCATCTCCCAGATGGGTGTTAATATTTGTGCGTGTCCATTTGTCTGTCTGTTAGTAAAATATCACAAGAGCCACTGAATAAATTTTAACGAAACCCTCAGAAAGCAATCATTGGATGTATGTCTACAATTGATTAACTTTTGGAGTCAACTCAAATCAGCATGGTTACAGCTTATCAGACGCACACCTAAAGATTGCTTTAACTCAGTCAGCTTTATAAATATTGAGGTAACATTTGATATTGAAGTCAATGAGAGTCATCACATCAAAGTTTCTGAGAGCTAAAATCTCACTCATTGTCTTTGTTTTAAACTTTGGCATGCAAGACAGAAGATAATATGCATCATTTATTAAAGGATTATTACTTTTTTTAATGAAATTACACATGAAAAGCAGCTTCAACCAACTTAAGATCAATAGACATTGAAATATTCCCAATAGCTCTGAGATGAAGTCAGAAGGGGTGAGCTGGTAGCAGACTTCATAAGCTAAAGGAAATGGACAATCCCCCTCTCTGTTAATGATTCATCTGTAGAAAGAGGGTTAGACGAAAGCAGCATCGCCCTTTGAATTCACTCAGCTTCCAGGGAATTTGGGGAAAAGTTTTAAAAAAAATCAGACAAAAGCGTCAGACATTGCATCCAATACTTAAAAGTTTAAGTGGTAAGTCTAATTCTATTTACAATTGATAATTATTGTTTTTTTTACCTGAAAGTTATGAAATATACATTTACATTCAATGTAGCTGCAGCTACTTTCTCTGTTGTAAAAATGTAGCTTTTAGCCTGACTTAATGTACCAAGAAAAACAGCATTCCGTTTTCAGTAAAAAAATAAAATAAAATAAAAAAACAATAATATATATAATATTAATGCCAGTAAAAATAACTTTGTGTTAAAATTTACACTTTGACGTTTCTGGAAAATGAGCAGTTCCTTTTTAATATTTATTATTTGAAACAACAGAAGTTTTTGTACCTTTTTATGTTCTGACCAGCTGTCAGTGTTGACGTGACTTCATTATTCTGCTGTAGCGTTTTTCCAGCAGTATTAGCCAGGTTTTTCTCCATGGTGACTGCAGGTCACTGGCCACGACATTATTCTGCAGGAAGGAGGGTCGTTAACGTGTGACTTTGCTCTCAACTCATGTAAATCCTGCATCTCTTTTAGGTCAAAGTGTTTCCAGCAGCATGGTGACCCTGTTAACAAGGTGTGAAAATGCAAATTAATCTCTMTTTAGAACATCTGAATATTTCATCTCATTGGAACAAAAAAAATCCACATTTGGCTGTGTAGTTCTGCAAGTTTAGGACATTTTGTCTTAATTTTGTTCCTTTAGAAAAGTTAGCTCAGCATGTTTGGTTATAATACACTGTTTTTACCATGTTTGTTTTCAAAGAATTAATTTGTGTCCAAAGCGTCATCATGTTTTTCTTTTTTATAACAGATGCACATTCTCACTCATGCAAACATGAATAAAGCTAAACAGTGCAACTGGCAGATTGAAAGGAGAAGAGAATAATAAAGTTTACTTCATTCTGAGCAGAGACAGAGAACAATCTAATCAAACACGAAGAAGATGAGATTGTATCTGTATTACTTGATAGTACTGGGGTCCAGTTATGTGACTTCGACTTACGGACCCCATCAGAGAGCACAAAAGACAGGAGACATTTTACTTGGAGGTCTTTTCCCCATTCATTTTGGTGTTGCATCTAAAGATCAAGACCTGGCAGCTCGACCAGAATCCACGCAATGTGTTAGGTAAGATTTTAGCAACAGCAAATCAAATGACAGACAGGACAAAGGATTAAAATTAAAGTGATCTGTTTTCAGTAGATGTATTTGGGTGTAAGAAAACAAAGAACTCAGAAGACAACAAGAATAAATGCCAATGTTTATTTTTATTTTCTGTCTTTCGTTATTAGCCAAAGAGATTAATTTAAAATATGAAAGAATAAAAACTACAGAAAACARTGCCATTTTAGAATTTCTGAGTCATTGTGGTTTTGTGTTGTGAAGAAAAGTGTCCTTTATTGGGCTGTGTTTACACACAAGGTTTTTAACACTGAGTTTTTGATCCTTTACAGGTTCAATTTTCGTGGTTTCCGTTGGCTCCAGGCAATGATTTTTGCAATTGATGAAATCAACAACAGCAGCACATTACTGCCCAACATCACTTTGGGCTACAGGATTTTTGACACATGCAACACTGTGTCAAAGGCTTTGGAAGCTACCCTTAGCTTTGTTGCCCAGAACAAGATCGACTCCCTGAATTTAGATGAGTTTTGTAACTGTACCGACCACATCCCATCAACCATTGCGGTCGTGGGAGCTGCTGGATCTGCTGTCTCTACAGCAGTTGCAAACCTGCTGGGTCTCTTTTATATTCCTCAAGTTGGTATTTGTACACTTTGTCAGCAACACATCAATACATCACCCCATTGTACCTAAAATCTAAAAGAAAACAAGTATAATAGCAATAATTGCCTGAAATTTTTCTTGTCTTAGATCAGCTATGCCTCCTCCAGTCGCCTCCTGAGCAACAAAAATCAGTACAAATCTTTCATGAGGACCATCCCCACAGATGAATACCAGGCCACAGCCATGGCAGACATCATTGAGTACTTCCAGTGGAACTGGGTCATTGCTGTTGCATCAGACGATGACTACGGACGCCCCGGAATTGAAAAGTTTGAAAAGGAAATGGAGGAGCGAGACATCTGCATTCACCTGAATGAACTTATTTCTCAGTATTGTGAAGATCACGAGATCAGAGCTCTGGTTGACAGGATCGAGAACTCCTCGGCTAAAGTGATAGTTGTTTTTGCCAGTGGCCCAGACGTTGAGCCCCTTATCAAAGAGATGGTCAAAAGAAACGTTACAGATCGCATCTGGCTCGCCAGTGAGGCGTGGGCAAGTTCCTCGCTTATTGCTAAACCAGAATATTTAGACGTTGTTGCAGGAACTATTGGCTTTGCTTTAAGGGGAGGGCATATACCAGGCTTTAGAGAGTTCTTACAGCGTGTCCAACCAAAGAAAGYCAGTCATAACGAATTTGTCCGAGAGTTTTGGGAAGAAACATTTAACTGTTATCTGGAAGACAGTCCAAGACTTCGAGAGAGTGAGAATGGCAGCACTACTTTCAGGCCTTTGTGTACGGGTGAGGAGGACATCGCAAATGTTGAGACCCCGRACCTGGACTACAAACACCTTCGAATCTCTTACAATGCTTATGTAGCAGTTTATTCAATAGCTCAGGCCTTGCAGGACATACTCACATGCACTCCTGGGCAAGGACTATTTGCCAATAATTCCTGTGCCAATATCAAAAAAATTGAAGCATGGCAGGTAAGATCTTGTGCAGATGACCGAAGCAACTAAAAACCTTCTTTACTGATGTGTAATCCAAAAATGTTGTTCTYCACCATAGGTGCTGAAGCAGCTCAGACATCTGAACTACACCAACAGTATGGGTGAAAAGATGCACTTTGATGAGAATGCAGACATGCCAGCAAACTATACCATCATTAACTGGCACAGATGTACAGAGGACGGCTCTGTGATCTTTGAGGAAGTTGGGTATTACAGTATGCATGCCAAGAGAGGAGCCAAGCTGTCCATTGACAAGACAAAGATTCTCTGGAATGGACGCATTTCAGAGGTCAGTTAAACTGTTCTGGAAAGCTTGTTCCTGTAAAGGTTTTATAATATTTCCTGGAATTCAGTAAGTTTTATTAGTYAAGTACAGGATTTACTAGCAAAATGTCTATAGTATGTAGTTATACAGTTTCCCTTTGGATTAAACACTGATAAATGCTCCATTTGGCACTGAGGTGGTCTGAAAGTAGTGTACTACAGTAGATAATACGATTGCGTTACTGTATATCAGCGGAAAAGAGATCATATACATGTTAAGGGGGTGAGGTAGGTGAAAGAAAAAAAAGTTTTGAAACTGTGAACGTTTGAAAAAAAATTAAAAATGCATTATACATTGAATTGGATACCCATGACTATTTGCAGAAGTCAAAAATAAAAACAGACATTCATTACACAGTCAAACACTTACACATAAAGCAGTCATTTTTATTGGGCAGGTGCATCCAYTGTTTTGATTGGTACTTGTATTTTGTACATTTTTTACCCATAACTGTTCCATACAGGTGCCATTCTCTAACTGCAGTGAGGAATGTGAGCCTGGCACAAGGAAGGGGATCATTGACAGCATGCCCACATGCTGCTTTGAATGCACTGAATGTTCAGACGGGGAGTACAGTAACCATAAAGGTACACAGATGAAAACTGCACAATGTTACTCCTTGATATTGTTGCTATTTTACCATTGATTATGTTTCGTGTTTTACACAGATGCCAGCATTTGCACAAAGTGCCCAAATAACTCCTGGTCAAATGGAAACCACACATTCTGTTTTCTGAAAGAAATTGAGTTTCTTTCCTGGTCTGAGCCGTTTGGAATAGCTTTGGCCATATGTGCTGTCCTTGGCGTTGTCTTGACCGCCTTTGTGATGGGAGTTTTCATCAAATTCCGCAACACTCCGATAGTGAAGGCCACAAACCGAGAACTGTCCTACGTCCTCCTTTTCTCACTTATCTGTTGCTTCTCCAGCTCTCTGATCTTCATCGGAGAGCCACGGGACTGGACGTGCCGTTTACGTCAACCCGCCTTTGGGATCAGTTTTGTTCTCTGTATCTCCTGCATCCTTGTGAAAACCAACAGAGTTCTTTTGGTGTTTGAGGCCAAGATTCCAACAAGTGTCCATCGTAAGTGGTGGGGATTGAATCTGCAGTTCCTTTTGGTGTTTTTGTGCACGTTTGTCCAAGTTATGATCTGRGTGGTGTGGCTTTACAACGCCCCTCCTTCTAGCTACAAGAACTATGACATCGATGAGATCATTTTTATCACGTGCAATGAAGGATCTGTGATGGCGCTTGGCTTTCTTATTGGCTATACTTGCCTCTTGGCAGCTATATGTTTCTTCTTTGCATTCAAGTCAAGAAAACTTCCAGAAAACTTTACAGAAGCCAAGTTCATCACTTTTAGCATGCTTATATTCTTCATTGTCTGGATCTCATTTATCCCTGCATACTTCAGTACTTACGGCAAGTTTGTTTCCGCTGTGGAAGTCATCGCCATACTGTCATCCAGCTTTGGGTTGCTGGCCTGTATTTTCTTCAGCAAGTTGTACATCATCCTTTTCAAACCATCCAGAAACACCATWGAAGAGGTTCGGTGCAGCACCGCAGCCCACGCTTTCAAAGTGGCAGCTAAAGCTACGCTGAAACACAGCACGGCTTCAAGGAAAAAGTCTAACAGCATCAGTGGATCCTCTGGCTCAAGTCCGTCCTCGTCAATCAGCCTCAAGACCGACTGCGACCAGCCTTCAGGGAAGCAGAGGCCGAGGGTGAGCTTCGGCAGCAGAACAGTTGCTCTGTCTTTGAGCTTTGACGAGTCAAGAAGGAGTTCATTAATGTAAAGTGCCTAACAAAGTGCCAAACATCAGCCTCATCATTTTAAGCTAATTATACTGATGCCAACACTGACAGTGTGAGTAAGCTACAGATGAGTAGATTCTACTTTCTAACGAAGCTCTAATCTATTAGTAGAGGTGTACAGCACAGAAATTAATTTCTGCAGCAGTTACTGAGAAATCTGAAGAAGTTTCACATGAGTTGGGGATATTGCTAAACTGATTTGCATAGAAAAATGTATTTTTTACCATCTCAGTTACCCTGTAGAAGTAATATTTTATCTGACTCACTTAGCTCATCATTCTCAGTAATTCAGTCAGTCAATAAAGAATTTAGTCCATAGATTTCTGTATGTTTTAGCAAAAGTATCTGATGCAGACAAACAATAATATTTCAACAAATATTCTCAAATGGAATATTTTTACTTTTATATTTAAGCTTAAAACATCTATTAGGATAAGAAAACTGTCAATTATTTTGTACAAATAAAAGTATTACATAGAGTCTTTACGCTTCTTGTTTTTATGATGGCAAATGGCTTGAAATTATATATTATCAAGTCCATATGGACCCTAAAGCACTTTACACTTGAKTCGTTCCCCCCATGCACACTCACATTCACACACTGATGGTTATGATGGTTAAGGACTAACTTTACATGTCAGCAGAAACACTTTTGGAACACAGAGAAAGTCATCAAAATGTTAAGCCATTACCATATGACCTTTAATTATGTTTCTATTTAATTATTTTTTTCTTGGTTTAACTCATTTTTATTTTGCAGTTTAGTTGTCTGTTAAAACTGTTAGTTTTAACAGTTTTTATTTTATTTTAAAAGTTAACATTTTTAAAGCATATAACATGTGGGCATTATGTACTAGGACTGATCTGCAGCAGGCTGTGGAACAGCTGGAAACCCACCTCCTCTGAACAAGACAACATTTACCATGAGAGGCGAAAATCTGACCCAGCAGTCAGATCAGCAGTTTGTCTCATCGCCAGACTGATTTGAGATAAATGAGACCATTGCAAGCTGAGCACATCTGGCAAAAAAGCCCTTGTTAAAAAAATGAACAAATAAAACATTAAAATTAATATGACATAACTGTAAATTACTAATATTTGAAGTTGCACATATAAATTTCACACAGGTTTGACAAGATAAATCTTGCAGTTTTAGAATTGTTTTTTGGTGTAATGGGGTACATGGCAGAGAAAACAAATGAATTAAATAATATCTATATAATAAAAACTAAAGGTTGAAGTTGTGTGAACACCATTCAAATAGATTGGTTCATGTACACCTTACGATGTGAATACAAATGCACTATAAAACAGTTTTTACGACATTGTGAAAATATGTTATTGTTTGATAGTGAACAAAAGTACAAGGTCATGAACACTCGATTATACTTTGTGCACAAAAGTAAACAGATCATGTAATCTGACCCTCACTCCAATAATAAAAGAATAGCTACATTTTCAGAATAAAAACTTGTCAATTCCAGTGACATATAGGTTTAGTTTAAAAAGTCAAAATTACCAATGTATATGCAATATCATAAATGTTGTTATTTGTAAGAAGTAGTTTGCTGACTGAGCTACTCCTTGCTTTTCATATTAGAACTATTAATAAAAGCAAAATTTTAAATACGACATTTGTATAAACTGTTTGGCAAAGAAAGTGTGTGCTGTAATTTTGTCTTTTTTTCCCCAATACACATTTGCAGACATGCAGACCAGAGCCACATGTGTATATATA